CCCGCCGGGCCCCGGCGCCCCACGGCCGCGATGGGGAGCGCCTCCTCCCGCCCCCCCGGCGCCAGAGGGCGGGCGGCGCTAACCGAAATGGGACCAAGGGCTGCCCCTGAGAAGAAACGCCCGGGAGGAAGCCGTGAGGGCCGCGGCGGTGGCCTGAGGGAGGGCGCGGAGGCGACGGTTGGGGCGGGTGTACCCGACGGTTGGGGACCGGCGGGGCGGTAGAGGGACCGGCGGGGCGGTAGAGGGACAGGGCGCGGGGCCCCGGGGTGCTTAAAAAAAAAATAAATAAACAAAATAACCTCAGCCGTACACTCTGCAGCTTTTCACAGGAAAGTAGAGTCTGCAAAGCTGCTTAGAAATTTTCCCATCCTCCAGTTCACATTACTGGAAGTGAGTATACACCTGGATCTCAACATTTACTTGACAGCTCATCAAGATCTGGCTGCTGTATACCAATGGTGACCTGTCCAGAAGGGTCATAATGCTTTCAATTAATTTGACATTAAAAGCTGATAGCATTTATTTACCTTCACAAGAACAGCTTACAGTTAGCACAGACAGAGGTCTCTAATCACACTTCAGTAACAATAGCATGTCAATTCCAAACATTTAAGGTTTAGTAGTAATCCTACCCCAGAGCATACCCTTACTATGCAATCTTCTGTCAAGAGACTCCTTGATTACTATGCAATCTTCTGTCAAGAGACTCCTCAGACACATGCAAGGAGGCACCCAACGGGGCAGGGAGGGGACGCGAGGCCACCGCAGCCCCGTCACCCACCAAAGAGGCTGTTGCTGAAGCCGTCCCAGACGCAGCCGGCGGCGTCCCACACCCAGCGGCTCCTCAGACAGGACATGAAGGTAAGGCTCACGCCGAAGACGGACACCAGCAGGTCGCTGAGGCTGATGTTGACGAGGAAGAGGTTGGTGGGCGTGCGGAGCCGCTTGAACTTGTAGTAGAGCACCAGCACCAGCAAGTTGTTGCACAAGCCCAGCATGCCGATGGTGGCCACCAGCAGGGCCAGCAGCTCGTAGGTGCCGGCGCTGAAGAGGGGCCGCTCGCCCGGCACCTCCTGCTCCGCCGCCGCGGGGGCCGGGCGGCTGGTGGTGCCCGTGCTGTTCCCCGAGTGCATGGCTTACGGCTCGCCGCTCCTTGCCTCCCCGCCCGCCCCCAGCCCCATGGCAGACCGCTACTGAGGGCAGGGGGAGGAGCCCCCTCAGCCTTCCCGCCCACGGGGGGCGCGCCCTCGGGCGGCTTCGCCCCCACTGCCCCGGGGCGGGGCGGGCCTTGTCCTGCCGGCGGCCAGACCCTCGCTGCCGGCGGCGTGAACCTTGCCAGCGCTTAATTATCGCTACACATCGCACCTGTGGCTGCCGTATGGTGCCTTCCCGACAGGTAGCTGGGCTCTCCTGTCACCTGCTGCCCTGAGCAGCCTAGTGGCGGTCGGGGTGCGGCAGCCCCCTCCTCAAAATCCTCTGTGCCCTGTGGCACCGTACGGCCGCCCTCAGCACAGGTACCCTCTGGGGAGCCGCGTTTGGCCAGAATTCCCCTGAGCCGGGAAGAGGTACGAACGGCCGAACCGGTATTTAGGCTTCTTCTCCAAATATCCTGCCAATGAAAACTCCAGTTACGGCGGCAGTGTCTCCTCAGGTGCCTCACCAGGGTGCTCAGAGCTGGCTCTAGTAGCTGCATCCTCTCAAGGCGTCGTGGCCCAGGCAAACTTGTGGTGCAAGCGAACAGCTTTTTGTCAGCCACAGAGCAAGTAAGATACCAAAGTTCTCACTATGAAGTCACCTATTTTTGTACTTTCCTCTGCAGTGTGTTGTGTAAAAATGGCTCAGGAATGCCCAAGGTGCCCGTGTACAGCTCCAGCTGGTTTTAGTCAGGGTGTTATACTGACTACCAGCTGGGGCGGTTACTGTCTCCAACCCAACCTGTCCCTGAATATATGACGGTGGGTTTTGCTCAGCAAGGCTTTGAGCCTAAAACACCTTGCCAGACCACACATCAGTCTTTCTCACAGGAAGAACCTTAGCTTTTTTGCTTTACTAGCTGGCCCACATATGTGCTGATGTGTGACAGCCTTCACAAGGGGTCAAATAAAACTTTCAGTTTAGACCTAGATTTTGGTTCCTGTTCTTCAAGGCCATTCCTGTTATCAACCAGTTTTTCCATTCCTTTCTTCCCTTGCTCTATTAAACATACCAGAAAGTGCTAGAAGAACACTACCAGCAGATAACTTAGTTGCCATTACTTGTAGCTGAAGTGATTGGTGCTTGAGAGGTATGTATATGTGTTCCACAAGATGAGACTAGCTTACTTCTGAACCCTGAGGGCCTATTCCTATTTAGAGAAGGCATTAAAGCAGACTCCCACTGCCCATGGATGGGCTGGATACAAACTGCTCTTGTGCACATCAAGTTCTGCAACCGTCACTGTCATTTTAAGAAATCTTGTCTGTTTATGTGTATCTGGCTGGCATTTCACAGAGATTCTTATGTCGTGGGCTTACATTCCACAATTAAACAAATTCTTGCTGTAGGTAAGACAGTATCCTTGTCTGCTAATGAAGACATTTGGGTACGTTTAGCTGCCAGGTGTCTTCTCTAGCAATTAGACCCCAAAAGCCAATGCAACCCTCCCAGGTATGAGCTGTATTACTAAATCCGATAAAGAGATTACATAGATCTCTGCTACTTGCAGCTTGATTAACTACAGACAGGGAAAGAGTTACAAGCTTTTACAGAAGGAGGGTGGCAAACTCAGTAAGACCACCATAGACTTGACCACACAGCTCCATGGAAAGCTGACCCTCACAGTTTAAGTACATTACTTAATTGAAGTAGCTATCATATACCATCAGGATACATCACCTGTTAAAAAATAAATACTGGAACTCAGTATAACTAAATTAAATGGGGATTACTGTCAGAGACAGACAACCAACGTCATTGAAGCTTAGACTAAGACTTGTCAGCTAGTCATCTGATCTCTGCTGTTTTCCCCACACTAGAGTATGGAGTGCTAAGAACGGCTTTGTAATAGCAAAGAGAAGCTCTTTTCATGGCCTCTGTTGTGAAGACATATGCACCTAAACTGTATCTTGACTTCCTAATTTAATGAGTAAAAGAAAATTGGGATTGTTACTTCTGCGACAAGTACAGACATTCAGTAGTCAAAATTATCTGTTTTGTGCTGCAGATCGCTGCATGTTTTAAAGGCTCAATGAAAAGCTTTCAAGTCCCAGAAAAAAAATAGCCAGCAGTAGCACAGAAAGTAGGTTCTGAGCTGTACAACGCAACACAAGAAGCAGATATTACTACATGACTTGCCTAATGATAAATTTACAATAATGCAGAAGTAGACTATTGCAGAGAACACAAAATACAGCCATTTATTCGTAGACAGACAATCTGTAGTTCTGTTGCCACCTTCTCAACTGAAAAGTTTCAGAATGTGAATATCTGCTTACAGTGTCTGATTTCTGGATCTTGTGTGCCTCCAAACTGCTAGACTGGTTGGTAAAGTGACAAGCACTTTTACAAAGGAAATTTTCAGATTCTTCAATCCAAAATTCCTAGGAGAATTTTAGAGAAGGCCCTCCTTCTTGTTGTGGGGGCAAAAAAAGTATGAACAAAAACCTCACAACAACACGTGACAATTTAAAAATAAAGCTACATGAACATGATTTTCTAAGTGATTCCTGATAATTAGCTACAGTAATTGGAAAGAATCTGATTTTTAAAATTTGTTGAAAATTAACTCTGAATTTAAAGGGAAAATCATTATTTTTTTTTAAGAAGGCAGCATTAATCCTGTGCCCCAAACTTGTTTACTGTCAGGGGAATCTCTTATTTATAGGCCAACAAAGCTGTCTTGCAGAAGACAGCTTACACCAAGTATTGGGGCTTACAGGCTGTTCTTCCAAGAAAAAAAAGTTACATAAGGATTCTCTTATTTGAACTTAAGATTGAACAGCCTTTGAACCCAAAGGGCTAGTACAAATGCAAGTATCAGATATTCCTGAACATTAAATTGTGCATTTACTCTCCACTTCCATGTGGCAAACTATGCACAAACACACACTTTTCTAACACATCATAAAAAAAATTCTTCCCACCAGAACACAATACAGAAGAAAATAATGACCAAGCACAGGAAGACATAATTTTGCAAACTATTGATACTAGTTTGACTACTTTTAGATAAGGCCCATGAATTGGCCTACATTTCTTCGGAAACAAATTTATTAGAGGGGTACAGGAAAGTATCAACATTGAATACATTTAAAGTAACAAATTACATAGCACACCCCAAAATAAACAAATTAAAATCAGGTGTGGTTAAGTAATTTGCTTATCAATTTATTCCTCATTGTTTCTATTTGTCCTACCTGTGGCAGATAACAAAGAAATTATTATAGTCTGGTTTTTAACATTTCCTGCATCTTATTTTTGACCCTGTATGTAAAATGCCTTCATCAAAAATACTAAGTATAAGGGATAAAGACAGGAACAGAACTACACTTCTCCCGTGTAAGCTTAATGTTCAGCAGAATCTGTTTCGCAGACGCTTGAGTTTTTCAAGTATTTGAACTGGGTGAGTGATGTAGACAGTGGTATGTTAGCTAAGTTCTCCAGTACTTTCCCTGACACCACTAGCAAACAAACATCTGAGAGCTGTGCACCACAGAAACCATCCAGTACCAAGCCTTGCACAAGTGGCACACTACATCCTGCGTCCACCACAGCTTTCAAGACGTAAGATTTTTGCTGCGCTATGAAGCAGCAGTCATGAGCAACCACACACCTGTGTCCCAGCAGCCCACCAAAGGCAAAGTATACTGCCACATGAAACAAAGATTACACAGGAAAGTCAGCTTACTAAAGACTCCAATTTGCCTTCTTACAGCCAATTTTCAGTGCATACACATTGTATGAGTGCACTGGTATCCACCTCTAATGTCTACATCTCTGCAAAAATAAAGGATCGGACACGAGCTTTAGATTTGGTTACTGATTAGCCAAACACTTACTTTCACCGTTAGAAACACAATCCTGTTCTTTTGCAGCATCCTTTATCAGTGAAAAACAAAGCCCTATTCCTTTCAACAGGCTGCACATAGGTAGCTGGTCTGCAACGTCTTCTTCTGCACACTTCTGTAAAGGGTACGTACCAATTTCAGGAAAGAAAACAGTAAAGCACCTACAGGTTTGGGAAATGGAAATAGCAGAAGTACTTCTCCTGCACTGCTAAAAATCCCATTTCAGGGGAATCAGTGGTTTCCCAAAAACCGACCGCGGGACCATGACTGAAAGAGACAGCACGTCAATTTCACACAGGGATAAAGAAGTTTCCTGCCAACGCCGGCAAGGGCGGGTGGCCCAGAAGAAGATTCCCGATTAATTTACTGTTCACTCCAGATCATTTTCCTCAGGACCGCCTTGCCCTGCGGCGACGCCGGGAGAGGGACCCCCGGCCCCGGCCAGCAGCCACGGCGGCGGCTCCGCGCCCGCCGCAGATCGGA